CTCCCATACGAGAGAAAGAAATAAAAAATTCTAACGCCGTTGTTTTTGATCAAATCGACTTGATCAAGATGGCGTTTTCGAACTGTCATTGAATTTCGGATTAAATTTGATCAAAATCGGATAACTCTATCATATAGCTGCCATAGGAAAAATATATATATATAAATAATGAAAATAAGTAATAACGTCGTTGTTTTTTATCCCATGAGCATGAGTTTTAAGACATCGTCTGTTTTAACCACCCTTTAATCGAGACAAACAATTTTGAAAGCATCGGTCAATTATATAATTTGGAATTTAGAGTTTTCTAATGACTCTCGAATTTTTAATTAAATTTCAAAAGAATCGAACGATAATATCATATAGCTGACATACCTATGAATAATCGTCGAAATATAGTTACCTACTTAATAGAAAAATCGACATAGCTTCGATGTTGTTTAGCCTCTATGTATTTGATTCGACATATTTGAAGACTGCAAGAGTATATAAGCTTCGGCTCGCCCAAGCTTGCTTCCTTTCCCGTTTAACAATACCGTACGGTTTCTACAAGTTCGTAAGAGAATAAATAAATGGACTTTAGATTACACGCATTTCTTGACTATTATCACAAGCCGCGAAACTCTGTATCGCAGGTGTAAGTTACTCAGCGAATGCCATTTTTCTTTATTTTTCCACGCCCAATTATACGCCCACCAGACTCGGGGGTGAAAACCTTTGTGTTTGAAAGTCTGAATCTTGTCGTCGTTCAAAACTTGCATCTCCTACTTTTACTCCCAACAGCCTTTGGGCGTACTAGCCCTGCTGTCTGCAAAGATTAAAAAGTACTCACGCCTATTAACTTTGTTCATCTAAGAACGAATAACTGATAGGCAAAACACTTTATTAAAGCTCGCTCTTTTTCGAGCAATTTTTTCTACAAATATTTTGCATTTATTTTTTAAGGCAGCTACATATATAATATACATAGTCGTTCGGATAAAACATTGTAAGAAAATGATAACTGCTACTAAAGAGGAAGCTAGCTTCGGCATCTCAAATGTCCGGCCAAATACCAAAGAAGAAGAAGATTTTGCTATTAAGTTTCTATATTTGTAGCGTCTATATCCAAAACATCATGCTTGTATGATAAAAAAAAAAACCATGTTATAATTATAGATTACACTGTCTTACAAAGATTTTGCAACGGAGATGGGGTGTTTTTTTTTGTGTTGAGGGTGACGAAAGACTACAAAAAACATCAAAAAAAGGGTTAGTTAGTTGTAGAAATTTCGCAGTAGAGGCTAACTTTAATTTTTCACCTTTTTTAAAAAAACGAACGTTATAATTGAAAAATTATACGTAGTGAGATATATGGGGATGTTCGTAATAGAATTCTCTACGACACCAGAAAAGAAATTTTTTAAATTTCTTGCCCCACGGTACCGTTTTACAACGTCAAAGGTGAATAAAAATGGTAAAAATGCGATTTTATTGAATAGCATTTTCTACACTTTTGGCTATAACTCGGGATAGCAATGAGGTAGACAACGTCAAATGGGCTTAAAATTTGCGTAAGAGTATTACCTTTGAAACAAAGTACTAATAAACTATATCGGATAAAAATTGTAGCTAATACTTGTAAGAAAGGCGAAAAATTTAAAATTGCCTCTATTGCGAAATTTCTACAACTAACTAACCCTTTTTTTGATGTTTTTTGTAGTCTTTTGTCACCTCCAACACAAAAAAATACACCCCATCTCCGTTGCAAAAATTTTTTTGAATTTTGTAAGACTGTGTTATTAATTGTTCGATTTTTCCTTTGACAGCTAAATGATATTGCCATTCAATTTTCGGGCGCGTTTGCTGGTACCCACAACCTTACCGATATTCAGATGAACATCTTTAATATCATCATCACTAGACATCATCACATTATTATTATTTTGATAAAGAATCCAAATATTTCCCAATGTTTGTGTAAAGATCTTAATATTTAACTTTGTTAGTGAAAGTTCTTACGAAGTTCTTCTTTTTTGGAAGTTCTTACGAGTTGACGGAGAGACATGGTTACATCGATTCTTACATATCTATACATATCCCTATCAAGTATTTGAACCTTTCATGCTCGAGAGTCGATCACTTTACCTGTAAAATACTTTTAAAGAAGAAAGGAAGCTAGCTTCGGCAAGCCGAAGCTTATATACCCTTGCAGTCATTAAATATGTCTAAGAAAATACAAAAAGATTTCCATATTGTTCATATGACAGCTATATGATATAGTCGTCCGATTTTAATGAAATTTAATTTGTAACTCAAGACTCATTAGAAAACTCTATATTCCAAAAATCATGATTGTCTGATAAAAAACAACGAGGTAATAATTTTATTTCCTTTATTTCTATATAGATTTTTCGATCTTTCCTATGGCAGCTATATGATATAGTACTCCGATTTTTATGAAATTTTTTCTCGATTTAAGAGTATTTGAAAAACTGGATGTTCCAAAAATCATGCTCGTAGCATTAAAAACAAGATCATAATAATTTTTTCAATTTTTTAAATATATATTTTTTTGATCTCTCCTATGGCAGCTATATGATGGAGTTATCCGATTTTGATAAAATTTAATCCGAAATTCAATAGCAGTTAGAAAACGCCATCTCGAAGGAATCAAGTCGATCTGATCAAAAACAACGGAGTAAGAATTTTTTATTTCATTCTCTCGTATGGGAGCTATCCTATATAGTCGCCCGATCCGGCCCGTTCCGACTTATATACTGCGTGCAACAACTACACAACTTTTGGAAAAGTTTCAGCCAGATAGCTTTAAAACTGAGAGACTACTTTACATAGAAACCGACAGGAGGACAGACGGACAGACGTACATACTAGAGGTGGAGAACTATCGATGGCACTATCGGGACTATCGATGGTTTTCCACTATCGATACGCAATCGATAGCTGCGCGCACTCTCGATAGTGGTCAATCGCTATCGTCGATTATTATCGATATTTTGGTTATCCAATGTCTACGTTAAAAGTGTAAAGGAAAGGAAACTGCGCGAATTTGTTACAGAGTTTTATAAATTGTTATTAAAAACATAATGGATCGTTTTCTCCAAATAGGTAAGATATTGTTATTTTTTTGTTATATTGTAAATTTGTATTATAAAGTTAAAAGCCAAATTTTTTGTGACAATAACAAAAGTGCTACGTGAGATGCCATTACTGCTATTATGGTTTGTTGTGAAATACATACGCATATATACGTACATGCGTTTCTTTTTCACAAAGATAAATACATAATAATAAAAGTATACATTTAATTAAGGGGACGTTCTCTTTGTTTTGGTCGAAATCAAGGCAAAGTTCGTCAATTTTTTGTGGGATAATGAAAAGGCGTACGAACTTCGGGTTTTGCTTTTTGAATTCGTTTATTATTCAAGATTTTTTTAAAATTTATTTGATGGTGAAATTCAAAATGGCGGCTGCAAAATGGCGGCTGCAAAATGGCGGCTTTCGTCTGCCTCCGCGCGGCAATCATCGTCCCAAAATTACGAGCCTGCAGCCTCTTGTAGTCAACAGAAATAGAAAATTGTTACCATTATGTAAAGTTAATATACTTGTGCGAGGCACTAACCTAGTGGTATCAAATTGCGGCCATAAATTGACCGCGTAATGAACGTTCGAATTTTAAAGTTCGATTTTCGTACATTTTTTTCAGTTAAACCACGTTGAAAAATTATAAATAAATTATTGTTTTTTTCCGGAGTAGGTTAGTGCCCTAAAGAAAAGCATCTACTTTCATAAAAATTTTACATGAAGCAAATCGGTTCACAGGATGAAGCTGTGGACGCGTAATTTTGTTGAAAAACATGGTTTCGAGAAAAACGCGTTTAAAGTTTTTAGAGCATACCACAGCGCGCGTGACGCAGGTGTATTTGAGACGCTCTCATTGACAAACTATTCATCGTATCGAAAAATCCTTTCACACACATATTCTACGGATATGTGGCTTTCAATTTTTGCATATATAAATTTATAGAAAGCAGTTAAGGTAAGCCTAACAAAACAAAATCATATTATTCGAATAATAATTATTTATTCTTTTCAGATAAAGATTGGAAAACCAATGCCATATTTTATAAATAAATACTTTATATATAAATAAATATTATTAGAAACACTAATTAAATTATTTTTTTGAGTGTACTCTGCACTATCGACAACTATCGACGATAGCTTTTCTTTGCTATCGCCGATAGTCGATAGTTTATGAAAACTATCAAGCGCTATCGATGGCGCAGACTATCGATAGTTCTCCACCTCTAGTACATACGTATTTGGATTCTGATCGTGATGCTGATCAAGAATATATGTACATATATACTTTATGGGGTCTGAGGTGTCTCCTTCACTGCGTTGCAAACTTCTGACTGAAATTATAATACCCTTTCCTCTGCAAGGGTATAAAAAATACAAGCTCAACATATACAAATGAAGAATGCTGTTTGATTTATGTTAACATATTAAAAAAATGTATTTACTATTTAACCTAGTAAACTTTAAATATGGATACACGAAAAAATATTCCACAATTTTCGAGCATTATATAAAAAAGTCTATTTTAAAGGTCAACTTGTTTTTAAATGAATTAAATATTTAATTAATTTAAATTATAATTTTATTGATGGGCTTACATTTTTAATGAATCTTAACAGAACTCTGTAGTCGTTAAACAGTTGTCAGCTGTTTTTGGGTTGCTGGTCAACCCATTTCCAACCATTCCACTAAAACGGGCTATGTGGGATTACCATAAAAACTAGTTTCCTCTCAATAATTTTCTTTTTCATTGTTAACGTGTTTTTCCCTAAGTCTATGTGTGAACATACATATCTTTAAGATCTACGAAATTTATTTCATAAATACATACATTTGTTATAAACAAAATTTTAGCCAAACCGATTGTTCTAGTCTCAACTGCGGGCAATTTTTAGTCTATATTTCAACTCTTCCTTTCTTTGTGAAAATTCCAACTTTTAGTTTAATCAAAGAATTTGGTATTTTTAAAATCAAACTGTTTTATTATCATTCAGTGGCTCCGACTCCTTAGTGGTTTATTGGTTCGTACATATGTAAGTAGGTATGTACGTTTGGTTGACCTTTAAGTGTGTACAGACATTCGTGGTTTATACATAGATACATATCTACTCACATATACATATACGATCTAACAGAGGGTTATCCCCTCCCCTCTGCAACCCAGCTGTGCCGGTAAGTAGGTCTTGAGACGTAGTTTTGCACTCTCTTACTCACTTCAGGTCGGTCAGACAGAGAGCGGAGAACAGGTAGACAGGTGAGTAAGCGCAGAGAGCGACATCCGACCGCCAAGCCGACGACTCTTTCGACACGAACGAAGCCCAAGTAGACACCCTTTCACTCGCACTCATTGTAGTGCTTAACAACTTGCGGACCCGACGAGACTGCCTTATACTTATTACCACAGCTCAGACGATGTCTGCCAGATTCATTTCCCTGGAAGACGTCGTCGCGTAGACAAGCTCGAATTCAAAGCGGGCGACAGCAAGTCGGCTCGTTAGCAATCGCAAAGCTTGTACAGGAGAGCCGGAGCAGCTCCAGCTGCATTCTCCTGCGAAGTGGAAAGCCCCACTGCGAGTGCGCAAAGTGATAGTGCGGGGGAGCCGTGGATCAGAACCCCGCGACGCCATATTTGTTTTCCAAACGCTAGTGTGTGTGTTCCAGCAGCTCCGGTGTGTGAGTGCAAAGACCAGCGGTAGTCTTTGCATCGGTACTCAGTTAATTTCGAACACGGTCTGGGACGGGAATGCGATTTCCAGGGCCAGCGTGAGTGTGTGTGTATGCTGTCACCCCGCTATGGACGAGTGTTCGTGCGCCCCTGTTGGTGTTAACCCGATCGAGAACGCTAGTGTGAGTGCAAGTGGCTCTGAGTGCGCGGCGAAAAATATCCGCTTACCTAAGCGAAAAAGTTCTCTCGCAACGGCCTAAGAACCGCACCTGGGTACAGATACAGTCGCAGAAATACCTGTGCACACAAACGTGGCCAGCACACAAAGCGAAACCAGAAAATCCACATTTTTGGCCTGCTCTTTGCTTTTTCCGTGGCGCTCTCGATTGGAACGCCGCTCCCCAGGTCCACAGCTCTAGCTGTATCACAACGCACTCGCAAGACAGCAACGTAGCCACGATGGGCGACTCCACGCCCATCTGTCGGTGTCGCGTGCTCTACCTAGGCAGCGCCGTGCCGCGCCAGAGCAAGGACGGCCTACAGGGCATCCAGGAGCCGCTGCGCAGCCTTTACCCCTCAGAGGGGGCCGTGGGCGCCAAGGGCATCGACAGCTGGCTGAGCGTCTGGTCGAACGGGATCCTGCTGGAGAACGTGGACGAAAACCTTAAGCAGATCACGCGCTTCTTCCCGATCGAGTCGCTGCACTATTGCGCGGCCGTGCGCCAGGTGCTCATCCCGGAGCGCGGCAACTCCCACCCGGAGCCCAAGTTCCTGCCGCTGGACTCGCCCTTCGCCCGGATGCCGCGCGCCCAGCACCCACCCATCTTTGCCGCCATCCTGCGGCGCACGACGGGAATCAAAGTGCTCGAGTGCCACGTGTTCATCTGCAAGCGGGAGGCGGCCGCAAACGCGCTAGTCAGGTGCTGCTTTCACGCCTACGCCGACAACTCTTACGCCCGCCAGCTGGAGACGGGTGGTGGTGGCGGCAGTGTCTACGGCACCCTAAAGAGCGCCGCCGGCAGCAAGTCCAGCGCCGACCTGACCAGCGTGGGCATGGCCAATGGAGTCGGAAACGGGAGCGGAGGCGGAAGCCACCATCTTACCCTTTCCGGTCAAGGTGGCTGGAGATCGCGAGCGGGCAGTACAACAACGCTGAATAGTCTGGGCCGCGCCTCTAACGGCCACGCCCCCAATGGATTGGCGATGGGCATGAACGGTGGCAGCAATGGCAGCGCGGCCGAGGGTTACACATCCGTCAAGAACTGTAAGTGTCATTCCTCGAAACCCAAATTTCTTTCTTTATTAACCTAGCAAGTAACGCAGTCTAATAACGCTTCAGGTACATTGCAAACATTATATTTAATTTTAAAATGCAATTCGTTGATTTGAAAAGGGAGCTTCCCCTTTCCCTGCTAACTAGCATATTCTCCATACGTATTGGCAGAAAAGATGTTTTGAATTCTTTCATTCATTCAATTCCATTTCATTAAATTTATCCATCTACTAATTAATATTTTTTTTAATCATTTTTCGGGCTTTCTTGATTTAACTTGCATAAAAAGAACAGTATATATACAAAGTCTTCTATACTAGTATAGTAAAAAGTATATTTTTCTGTAGGAAGAAACGGCAAGTAACAATTAAAAATCTGAATCTTCAAACACCTTAAACATTTGTGGTCAAATTGATAGCATGTGACAAGATATGTATATGTATAGTGTAAAAAACTCCTCTTCTCAAGTGCAAACTGTGCTACCTTGAGCGGCTCACAGCAACACAATTTCTTGCGACAGACAGTAGTGGTATGCAGAGGCAACGGAATGCCACTCGAACACACCTTGTTTCACGCTGGTAAATAAAAAATAGTGCGAAAGCCGAAACTGGGTGCAGTGTATTGAATGTTGACCAAATCTTTAGAGTCTCCTCGTCCAGAAGCGAATTAGCCCGAAAAAATGGTAAAACAATGAAGCGTTCGGGAAAGGGGACTTAGGTTGTGACGATGTTGACGACTTAGAGAAAAAGAAATACTATTCGTGCGTTCCAAACACTTTCCACTCATTTAAATTTCAACGACGGAGACCAGTTAGCAATGGAGACAGTAGACGAGAAGACGATGCTAAAGCCTCATCGTTTCACAAGCGCGTCTGTTTCTCCGTCATTGGTTATAGCGAAGTTATGATAATTACCATGTAAATTGCTGAAACTGAGGAAAGCATCGTTGCTTTGTGACTGCTTCCTGGCATTTTAAAATGCGCGATCTCTAGCGCGGCATCGGAATTAGCTGAATTTCGCTTTCGACTTTTCTGTACCTGAACTGCTGCCGATCGCCCTACCCAGTAGTTTATACATATATACGCATTTCGGATCACATATTTTCTATTTGCAGATAGAAAGCAGAACGATTAAGACGAAGCTATTACATATGACTTTAGCTTTATTTATTGGGTCTTAGTTATGGGGTTTGAGGTGTTTCCTTCAATGCGTGACAAACTTCTGACTGAAATTATAATACCCTCTGCACTGCAAGCGTATAATGAAAGGAAGTTAAACCTAAAAAGCGACTAGATTCATCACACCTACTAACCATATGTAACATATTAGCTCCTATGTATCAATTTGATACAGGTTTAAAAACATGCTTAAATTAAGTGAAATTAAAAAAAAAAACAATTTTTTATATATTTATTATGAACGTTTGTTTATTTTGAACAAAAAATGCTTTATATGAATTTTTTAAAGACAAAACTTGAGCCAAAATCACAAATCCGTATAAGAATCCATTTCGCCTAAGTCTGAATAAGTTTGAAGTTAAAGTTTGTAGCAAATTAATACAAAGAACGGATGCGGGTTAAGAATAAGAAACTTCTTTTTTTTGTCGACTTTGTCGTTGATTTTCTGATACTTTTACGTCAGATGTATTTTAGAAAGGTCTGATCTAAATATAAATAATTTTTAAATCAAAAAAACATACATTTTTACGAGTTAAAGATTTTCCACTATTTACAATACAAACTTTAGTTCAAAATTCTTTATTTTAAAATTTTCGCAAAACTTTAAGTTTGTCTTTAAATAATATAAAGTTTTTCGATTTATCTTTTGGCAGCTTTCTGATATAGTCTTCTGATTCCGTTATCTTCTTCGCTACGATGCAGGCATCTGACTGAAATAAAACAATCTCAGCAAGGGATAAAATCATTTCTGTGAACAAAAAAGTGGCTGTGACTTATAAAAGAAGTTATTTGCAGCTAGCCATCAGTTAATTTATTGACACACCCCATATTAGCTTCTCACAGCCTCTCGACCAATCTTTACATACTGTCTCTTCTCTTTATCCCTCTCATACTTGATTATCATTTCCCACCGAATGGATCACCAAGTCAAACAGTTAACATCAACTTATATACATTGGGACTGTCGCTTGGTCGCGTAGTTAGTGTAGAATTTCCTCCAACACACATATGTATATTCAAATGTAGATAAATTCAGGAAACTAATTGAGAAGTAGGGGACGGCGCATGTAAATTAATTATACACATGCAAGGGTGCTTAGCAAGTGAGTAAATCGAGATGAAGGCGTGAGAAACTTTCTGCTGGGCCTGCTAGTTTTCTTGAGATTGCGGTCTTGGCTTGGCGCTTTCTTGTTCTGCAAGTGACTGGAAGTCGGTAGGGATGTGTGAAACCGTGGAAGCTCTGTGGAGTGATCAAAAAGAGAGAGTCGCAGCTTGGTTGCCAGAACACGTCAATGTTAGAGTGGTTCAGTGAAACTCTGCTCAGGTCATCTTTGGCTAACACGATCCATGTGAAATTTTCTATTTAAAAGCATTTTTGATTTTATTACTTGGACTTACTTTTGTTTTTCAAAATCTTCGTTGAATGTTAAAAAGTTTGTCGCTAATAACTTTACCGTCATTCCTTAATTAAAAAAATAAAGTTTCTTTAGATTTTAGTACTTATTGCCTACAAACATTGATGCACTCTAACCTACCCTATGATTTTTCATGTGTCGTTCATTAAAACTTAAGTATTCCCAGGGATTACGAAATCATAAAATGTGTACTGTATAGTATGTAACATATGTTGTATGTGGTTAGCACTATGTGTACTGTATAGTATTTTAAATTTGAAGTGCCTAGAAATGTATTTTTCGAAAAAAATTTTATAAAAGTTTCAATGGCGGCTTTATAATATAATTGTCCAACCATTTAAAAAAAAATTAGTTTATCTCAAATCGTATAAAATTTACCAATCGCAAACAACAACGAAATATGACATTCCTATTATTTTGTGTTCACTCTGTGGCAACTTCATAATATATTCATCCGGATTGTCAAGGAATACAATAACTACATTTTTGTAGACATCATTTTTTATTTACTCCTACGATAGCGTTTATGGCAGCTTTGTATTAAAACTATCAGATTTTTTTTAAAATAAACTCGTAACTTTAGAGCCATTTAAAAAAAAAAAGTATCTTAAAACAGTGCTTTTCTTTAAATTTTGTATAGGTTGTCCGATCACGGCCGTATTGCATTAAATCAAAATATTGTTGAAAGAGATTGCAGTTCCACCACAGTTTATACGTTCTTTTAATACCGTTTGACAATAAGCAAAACGTTTTATATATTTTGGGTGTTTGTAGTGAAGAATTTTAGTACGCTTTCCTGTGTATTTGAGTACTATCAGCAAGTGAAGACTAAGAGCACTCGTTTAAAAAATGTCGGCACCTGTGGCCATAAGCTGAAACTCTTCTTCACAGACTGGCTCCAGTTTGGGGCAGCAACTTTTAAAGCGACTATTATGATGACCGCTTACGTACATCTCGCAACATTTGGGTGCTGTTGCACTGTTATGCAAAGAGGCTGGACGGACTCTGACTGGGGGCAGTGAAAAGATGGGTGCAAAAACAAAGACAAAACACATTAACCGAAATGCAGTTGCAGTTGAATGACTCAGATGCATGCAACAGCAGCACGGCAGCTTTTCTCGGGCTCAAAACAACTTCACGATGGAGTAATTCCAACGCGGGACTTGCTCGTAATGCTGTTGAAAAAGTTCGAGTTGCCGAAGCATCCGCAATATTTTAGACTTGGCTTGCGAACGACAGTATTTCATTTGTGACCTACTTGATGCTCCCCTTCAGACCTGTTTTCCCATAGAGCTCACCATCCTTTATCGCCGGCAATCAATGTAATTTTTGATATCGCATGTGTAAATGTGCTTGCTTTGCATAAATATTTCAATTTAGTTAAAAACATTTTTATACGGAGAAATCCCATTTCTGGAATGAAAACTTTTTAACTTTTAACTTTTTTGCACCTTAGCTTTGTAACACCGTCATTATACGTTCCATAATTTTATTCAAAAGTATGCAAAAGCTTAAAAAATAAAAATTCCCAAAACTTAATTTTCAAAATTTATTTTTGATATTTAATTGATTTTTTTATGGTCTTGTTATGCATACATATTAAAATTAATAAAACCTTATGATAGGTACGTATGTAGCTCCTTCTGTTCGGACCGTCCTAACAAATTTTAAATTTATCGGATTTATCATATAAACAATGGTAGGTCAACAATATATTGAGAGCTAACCCTAAAACAATGTTTAACCAGACAGATTTTGGAAACCCTGCCAACCATATTAGTTTGTGTAAATTCTTCTCTTTTTCGTTCGTTATTCTTCCGACATTCCGAGCTGACAAAGTCGGCCTAGATTCCGACTTGCAGCTGCACCTGCGCCCCTTCAACGTTTCAGACCCAGCTTGGCAAAGGCAATAATGGAAAACAGCAAGAAAACTGCATGCCAGTCGGCTGGTTTTGGTTTTTTGCATCATTGGAGGCAAAGCAAGAAAAAGCAGAGAAGGAAAACCATTCGAAATAGTGGGCAAAGTCTTGTTGCCGGTTCGTTTTCTGCCACTCCTCTTCCGCCCGACTCGCTGGAATTCGAGTGGCACCGAAAAGCGGCTGAATGCCAGCTGAGAGCTTTGCCAAGCCTTTCATATGAGGTATTTCGAGCTGCCTTTTTCTGCACCCGCAGTGGAAGAGATTTGCATCGCATCCCAGCCCCTTCCATTTGGATTTTCACGCACGCATGCGCTTCGCGCTGTCCCTCGGAAAGTGAGTGAGAGTATCAATTTTACTTTTGGTCGGCGGTGCACACTTCACTGATAATGACGTAAATCCGAATGGTTTGCTGAGGCGAAGAGCGAGAAAGGTTGTTGAAACATTTCCCCTTGGTTTCGTAGTTAGTACAGGAGCACGAAAATGTGACGTAATTAAAATCGGTAAATGGTGGAGTTAAATTAACCAACGCCGCAAGTGGAAATGTAATTTACTTTCTGCAACTACGACCGACACACGAAACAAGAGCCAGTGGACTGCTGATCAATTAAATGGTCAGGAATCCAACGGACTTCCGCAGCCATTTACGCAAATTACGTTCCGTACGCGATAAAAGTAGCTGCCCATTTACTAAACGGAAAGCGCAACTGCCCGACATCGCTTCCTTTAACAGTTGAACAATTTTCACCAGACTGAATGATCAAGTGAGGTACATACGTATAATATTATATTTAAAGATCCATTACATACTTGCAACTGACTAGGCAATGACAAATCGTCGTGAATACAGTTTTAAAAGATATTTTTAATAGATGAAAGTGGCAAGAGCAACAAACTATGTGAGTTTGCAAAGAAGTTGGCCGAATAGAGCTGTGCTTCCGGAAGGTATTCGACTGTTGGCCATGTGAAGTTCGTATTGTGCCGCTAATTAAGCAGGTTTCCCACAAACAACAAACTGTGTGTGTCTGTCGGTTTAATCTACGTTTTTTGCGGCGCAAAGACGCTAACTTCCCAACGAGAGCGACGGAGTGGGCTTTAGCTCTTATTTTCAGATCCAACCAAGTCTGGGGGTCAATAGTCCCGAGGCCGAGCGGGTTTCTCATGCTAGCTGATGAGGCAACAACGCCCAGCAAAGCTCCCGGGCAGAATAACAAACAAAACCCAAAGGCACAAACCGCGGAGCTGCGTTCGAAGAGAAATTATAAAATGGCCAGACACCGAAGCGGGCACCCAAGACACTGGGCCAGAGACTCTTCGGGTTGTCGCTGGTCGAGCTGAGCCAGCTTGGGCTGGGCCTTCAACGTGGCTGAGAGTGGGACGGGCTCAGGTAATCGGGTTCTGCTGTTGGGTTGGGTCTGGGGCCGCGCTGAACGGAACTGAGGCGGACTCGTACTGCGGCTCGGCGGTATGGCGACAGTTGCAGGTGTAGCTACGCTCAGGTTATTAAATTACTGTTATCTATTACAAAACCGTTGCCTCCGTGGTCCAAATGCGCTGCAGAGTGTCCAAGCGATCACGGAGAGGCCAGTCAAGCCAGCTCCGTCGCAATCGCCGACCAGTTAATTTGAATGCCTTTGCCGTCGCGAGACCAGCAGTCTTGGCCCGTTTTCGTTTAAAAGTGCGGATTAGACGCGCTCAGTCGATGGTCAGCGTTTTGGCTAATTTGTATGCGAGTGCTTTGTCCCAGTCTTTCCGCCACTTGCCCCTCGTCGATCTTTTGTGACTCAGCACTTCGCCTTTGCCGTAATCGGCAGCTCGAAAGGTGGGACAGCCAGCAATCGGTATCGATAGTCAGTGCACAGCATTCGTCAACCATGAAGGTCAAGGAAAATAGTACAAAGCGGGCTCCGATTCATCTATTCACATCAGAGTGTTTCAGGGAAAACAACTTAATCAGGCTTGAATGATTTTCTTCAATTGTTTTCTCCAGGTTCCTAAACTAATTATTGATCTCGTAAAATGTTCGAGAAATATCTTTAGAATGCATTGTATCTAGAGTTACTTATTATACCATATTTTCTTCTGGTAGGTCTAAGCTTACATGAAATTATTTGAAGATCTTCGCTCCATACAGTTGTCAATGTCAAACATAATCCTTATATTCTTCGGGCCATGTGAATATAGCCTTATATTTGACTTTTAATAAACTAACACCTTATCTCAATACCAACAAATCGACTTCTAATTACTGTCAAGGATTGTGCATTTGATTTACACTAAGCTTTACTTAAAACTACTCGCAAACATAAGTGATGATTTACTTCCTAAGAAAACGACAACATTGGCTAATTTTAGGCAGGTTACTTATTTGAAGCAAGGCATTAACCTAAACTAATTACAATTTACCATGGTCTCTTTCAGTTTACGGCAGCAGCACCGACCTAAACGTGACCGTCGACGACGGAGATGCGTCGTACAACGGCGACGAGAACCACAAGGTATGGAGTGGTTCGCAGGACCAGCTGGACAGCATCGGGCCCGTAGAGAGTCCCTACGAACTGTTCGCAGGAAACACGTCCACCCTGGGGAGGCCATTGCGTGCGCGCCAGATCAGCACACCCATCGACGTGCCGCCGCCGCCGGTGAAGGAGGAGCGCAAGCAGAAGCGGGATAAGAAGTCGTCCAAGTCGAGCGGCAGCCAGAGCCTCTCCGGCACTCTAATCCGTCCGAAGCCGTTGCACCCGGCGGCCCTGCACCGCTCCGGCTTCCAAGGGCCCGCGGCACCTGGCAGCACCATCTACGGACCCATCTCCGCCCAAGGCCCGCACGCCGCCCGCTACCACACGATTAGCCACCGCGGCTTCCCCCGGGTCCGCCCAGCCACTTGGCCCACCATGCACCGCCCCATCCCGCACAGCACCCGGTCCACATGATGCACCACGCCCACATGGGCGGCATGCCGCCCATGCAGATCCCCGTGATGATGCCCCAGCAGTACGCCACCCTGCAGCCATCGCGCTCCACCAGCAAGAAGAAGAAAAAGGACAAGAAGAACGGGGTGGCCGCAGGCGGCGGAGTGCCCGTGGGCATGCCCATTGTGCCGCCCATCTACGCCTACCACCAGCAGCAGCCCATGGGCGGCGTTCCTCCCCCCAGCTGGCCCAGTCACTCATCGGGGAGCCCAGGGCACTGGGCCTCTCCAGCCGCAAGCTGGCGGCATCGATGGGCACCGGTCTGGACGACTCCGGCAACTCGGGAGCCGAGTCGCCATCGCCAGGCGGCACTGGCATCTACAAGGTGGGTCTTTGTTTGTCGAGCAAGGATTGGTAAATCAATTTTGACTTCTGTAAAAAATATCAGGCTCAGAGAAAGGTGCTAAGTACTAAGTATTTTATATTAATTTTCGCCATCTAAGCTGTATGTCATGACTTTTTATACCCTTGGGTATTGTAATTTCAGTCAAAAGTTGTGTAGTTATTGCACGCAGTATCAGACAGCTCCTATAAGAGATATTTATTTAAAAAAAACTATCACGCCGTTGTTTTCAATTATATCGATTTGATTACTTCCCGATGGTGTTTTTTCGAATTTTGAATTAAATTTTATAAAAATCTAAAAATTATATAGCTGCCATATGAAAAATAAAAAAAATATTAAAAAAAGCTCATGAAAATCGGAAAACTATATCATATAGCTGCCACAGAAAAGATCGAAAAATCGATATAGAATTAACGGAAATAATGATAACATCGCTGTTTTTTATTTGACAAGCATTTTTGGAATATAGTATTTTCTAATGACTCATTAATTTCAAATTAAATTTCATAAAAATCTCAAGACTATATCATGTGGCTGTCATATGAACAATCGTCGAAAAGATAGAAACTTAAAAGAAATATCGACTTAGCTCCGACGTTGTTTAGCCTTATTATTTTGTTCGACATATTTGATGACTGCAAGGGTACACATATTTATAAGATTCGACTTGCTGAAGCTAGCCTTCTTTAATACTTAAGTTAGCAATTCTGATAGAAAGGTTAAAAATATTATTTGAATGTCGATATATAAAACCTGTTGCCTTCTAGTTTGTCCGAAATGCCAATAGCTATTTTAAAATTAGGAATACACTTCTTTTTATTGGCTTATACTCGTATGTAGCACATTACTTTTGTGGAACTAGTCAGTACTATTAAACAGCTACTACGGAATTAGAAAGATACGATTAAAAATATACGATTTAAAATACAACTATATATGTACTTCGCTTGTCTAGTATCAGTAAATTAAAAAAAAAATATTTTCTCACCAACCAAGTATAAGGCTCGACAATTAGTTACAGATACTAAATTGATTCATTTTTTTAGCGCAAGGGACACCTAAATGAACGAGCCTTCAGCTACTCCATACGCCAGGAGCACCGCAGCCGCAGCCACGGATCCTTGGCCAGCTTGCAGTTCAACCCGCCGGATATGAAGAAGGAGCGCGAGATCGCCCAGATGGTGGCGGGCCTTGACCTGAACGAAGGCGAGAGACCCATGGCCCCAAACACACTGCAGCGCAAGCAAGTGCCGAATGGCGGGGGCCACGGTCCAGGACCCGGTCAGCATCCCCACGCCCACCCTCCGCATCCACATGCCATCTACGGCCCACTGGGGCCAGCCAGCAGCTTCGGGAAGCCCAGGAGATAAGAGTTGTTGGGACCACAACTTCGTTTAGGGCTGATTTGCAAGCCGTGAATTTCACACATAGATAGATTTAGACAATGTTTAGCGATGCTGGTCAAAATAAATCGGGGTGCGATCAAAAACGGCGAGTGGAGCCAGTTGGAAATCACTCTGATTGTCCTCGATGTACACCAGATTAATTAAAAGGTGGATTAACAGTCTAGCGGAGGTCTGGCGAACGACTCCTACAAAGAAAGCAACTCTACATAAATGAATATGTGTGCCTTATTAGGTTTATACTAAAAATCCACGACATACCATATATTAACCAGAATAATACTAAGTGTAGAATATTATAATACGATACCCTGCAGTCTAAAGGCGACCCCAGACGCTCTTTCGCTTTTAGAGACACCCTCCAGTCTGTCAACGGCAATAGATAAGCTGCATGTCTACCCCAAGATCGTAAATTACCTGTATGCAAATGAATATGTACAATAAATACCTACAATAAACTGTTGACAGAGTACAATCCCGGCCCAAACCCTTTCACCTCTCTTCCACTCCAGCTGCCGCCAGACGTCTCCAATGCCAATTAGCATGCTGGCTCCGGCCGGAGTCAAGTCAGCTGTCCTCCACGCATTTGGCGATTGACACAAGGCCCTGCCACAGAGGAATGCTGGACTAACTCGGCGTTGTCGAAGTTGTCCGACTATTGCAGACGTGTGCCCTGCATTTCAACCAGTCCCATCGGATCTGCATACGAATGAGCAGCGACTTTAATGTGCAGGTCTTGCCAGAGATAGATAGATAGATAGATAGTTCAAGCCCGACAAGGCTTCAGCCCGGAATTAAATCAACCATCTATCGAAGTTCGCGAGATGAGGCTTGTTGGAATTTTGACAAAAATGTGAGGTGGCGGGATGTGCATGCACATATGTATGAATGCGCATGAGAACACGAGGCAGGGCAGGCCATAATTTCACCGAACCGTGTCTGCAAACGGGCCGAACGAGTCGATTTCACTTCCAGTTTCACCTGCACTGAGAAAGGCAAGATTTCCGCCTTTTCGAAGGTTGTTTCATAAGTTGATGCAAAGCAAAGAAAGCATTCCTAAGTGTTACGAATAAGCCTGGCCAAGCCTATAAAAGTGTTTGACACATAATTTTTTTAATTTTTACCGAAGGACTTAAGTTTAATAAAAAGAAAAATTCAAAACGAGGTAAGGACGTCAACATGACAGTATGACAGTTTTTACCTATTGCTGCTATAAAATAATTTTTTAAAAACAATATTTAAAAAAATAGTGATTTTGATATAGGTTTAGGTTATGGTTTATAGATTTACCTGCATACCAAGTAAATACCAAGTGAAGCTGGCTTACTTTTTTGAACTGGTTTTGGCGTTTATCCATAAATTTTACTTTAAGTGCGCCAATATGGGCTGTATATATAATGTTATGAAATTGTATCTTATATGCAAAAACTCCGCAGAAAAGCGATTTACTGTAAGCTGTTCAAGTAGCGATAGCGAGCACAGAGAGATACATAGATTGCGGATCTCAGCTCGCTATCTAACTCTCATTGATTAGCGAGAGAGAGTTGAGAGAGAGAGAGAGAGAGGCGGCCTCGAAAGCTTCTCCAGACGTATGTAGATTCCTCTCGGCAGACTTGGCTCAGAGACTGAGTCCCAACTGCCACGACTGGTTAAATGCTGCTTTGCAGGTGTGAGCCCACTAGTCGCTAGTAGTAGTAGCCTAGACTACGGCTTATTGATAAACCCAAACTTATACTTTTCTCTATAGCTGTTAATTTGGTCTTCGGTGTGACCCGCAGTCGATTGTGTTGGTCTGCGCTGGCTGCTCTGTGTGTAGACGGTCTGTCCGATCGAATCTGCGGAATGCGGACAATCCGGTCGGCAATTGGCATTCCTTGCACAGCCGCTCAGCGAAACTGGGTGATGGGGCCGACAAGAGGAGGGGAGGGGCACTTGACACCCACTTTGTGAGCATGGCACCTGAAAGAACTATACAAATTTGAATTTTTTAAATATAGGAAACCATATGAAATGCTTAATTTAGAGAAATTAAAGCTTAAGTACGGTCAAAATTTGTGTGTTATTCGAAATATAGATTTGACGATATTTTCATAATAAAAATATGTTTATATGTTCTTAATCAGCACTACCATGCGCTTTGGTATAGCCATGTCTGATCGTTTGGCCGTATGTCTGTTTCTAGGCAAACTAGTCCCTCAACTTTAAACTGCTATCGCAGATTGAATTTATACTTACAAACAATCTTCATACCCTTGCAGAGCAAAGAGTATTATAATTTCAGTCAGAAGTTTGCAACCCAGTAAAGACCCCGTAACGTATATATATTCTTGATCAGCATCACAATCTGAATCGAAATTCCTCTGTACATCTGTCCGTCTGTCCGTGTGTCCTTTTGCTCTGCAAGGGTATAAAAAATGATGACATGGTTATTTTTTATCATATGAACAATCATAAAAAATATAGAAACTTAATAGAAAAATCGACGCAGCTTCGATGTTTATCTATTTGCTCTACATACTTGATGACTGCAAGGGTAATAAGCTTCGGCTTGCCGGCTATACCATTAAGAAATGTATGGTATGGTGGGAACTATAAAAAATAGAATACATTTGTAAAGAAAAAAAGAAATAATTCTCGCTACGGTAATCCCAATCTTATACTCGTATACCAGATCCTTATAAAATGTTAATTCATATATAAAATCGCATAATTCTGCTTTATTATATGCTTTTTGAACGTACATACATATATTGTCTTGAAATTTTAACAAGCCTTAATTCAAATTTTTTAAAGTCTTTAATTAAACCATGAAAATCGGACGACTATAGCACATAGCTGACATGAGAACAATGAAAGAATAGAAAATGAAAAGAAAGTTTGTTATAGCTTCAATGTTGCTTCGTGCATTTGCTTGACATTAAGAAATTCGAGCCGAGAATAGATATTAAAAAGCTATTTTTAAATATCGAATTGCTATACCACACTGCTGCCATAGATATGAGAAAATTAAATGAAAATTTAGACAGAATAGAGATTAACTATATAATACAATTTAGCCTTGACGTTGTAGGAATCGAGATAAAAATAGGAAACCAAAGAAAATATTTTGAGGCTAAGATTTTATTACTTCATCAATTGGTAAAAACCGATTTTCATAAAATTAAATCGGAATTCTAGACTCTTTAAAAAGCTCGACCATGTTATAAATGTTATCTTTCCTACGGCAGCTATATGATAGAGCAGCCTTTGGTTAAAATTTAAATTTATTAAATTTAATTTTTTTGTTTTTAATTCAGTCGTTCTTAAAACACGCGATATACCAAACATCATTATTAAGTTATAATTTTTGTAAGATTAATTGTATATAGATTTTTCGAACTGTCCTATAGCAGCCACACGATAAAACCATGGGGCTTATACGAAATTTAAGCGGCAACAATAAAATAAATTTTTAACATGGTTGAAGAAACCTATGATTGTTGTAATAACCTATGATTTTAGTAGTTGCCCACCAAAAAAATTATTTCTCTATTATCTACCTATATGTTTTCTTGTACATCATATCTGAGCGGTGAATTGGATTTTATGAATGAATTCGAACCAAAACCTATTTTAATTATTTGCACCGTGGATCGTGGAATATTGCTGTAAGACATGTATAATATCGTGATGAATTTTTTTCAATTGGGCCACGCCCTTTAAGGGGCACAGCTAGTGTGACATTTCAAAAAAATCTTTTTTTTCTTTCATATTTCGGTAGATTACACCTTTAAAAATAACATATTAAAATTCCAAATCGATATCTCAAATAGTTTTTGAGTTATAGCATTTTTAAGAGCAGCCGCTCGTATAACAGTGAATACGATCATTTTATCTTTAAGCGCGTTTTTCTCGAAACAGCATTTTCCGAATTTGCTGCAGTGATAACTCAAAAACTAATGATCCGATCACTATCAATTTTTTTTTTACATGTATATAGTTCTCCCTACAATGACCTATCGATTTTTTGATCCGATCAAAAATCAAATTTTGGCAGGCCAAAAACAACCAAAATTTCGGGTAAAATTCTTTTTTTTTTTTTAAACACCGCCATTTTGTCAAGTTTTGATATTTTTTTATTTATCGTAGGTCATTGTATAGACAATATCATCTAGTTTAACGAGAATTTTTCATTTTTTGATTTCATCCACGGAGAGGGCCGGAATCACTGCAGCAGTTAAGGCACTTTTTTTTTTAGCGCCGTTGGAGATCGGCTCTAACTTAAAAAATGTTTAATTTTTTTCTTTAAAAATTTTACTGTATATTCTTGAAACATGTATAAATATATTCTGAAAATTTTAAAATAATTGTTCAAGTAGTTTTTTTAATAAAAATTCCCAAAAATCAGCTTTTTTTTGGCCGTCACACTAGTTGTGCCCCTTAAATTCATTAGTCTAAGTAAATAATATCTAATATCATCAGGGCTAACAGAGTTATGTTTTTAAATGAAAAAATATTTATTTCCATATTTTCGCCTTTTTTTTCCTATAAATCCATATTTTACACAATCACTTGAATAAATCCATATTTTGAGCATTAAAGTGTCTGAAAACCTATAGAAAGATATGTTTGGCTCAAATACATATTATAAAATTTCTGTCTTTTGCCTTATACTCGATAATAAATAATGTAAACAAAACATCGTTGCGTCGTTAATCAATCAAAATATGTATCATCGAATGTAACAATTATGATGCAGTTTATATTTTAAGTTTCAGTTTTTATTCCATATTTCATGCTTTCAGTTCTTATTCTTCAGGACATATCGCGAATGTTAGGAGGAAATCTCATTGATAGTTCTACAGAAGGTGACGATCTTATCCTGAATTTATCACCTGCTGAACTGAATGCATATGCAAATGCTCCTGTTACATCTTGCGATGTTGAGCGTTCATTTTCATCATATAAACACAAACACAAACACAACAACATCATACAAACGCCGTAGTTTTGTTTTTACTAATCGGACACAACATGTCATATTGTTCTGCAATGATCTTTGAGACAAACGGCGAACTTTTGTTTATAGCGATTTCTAATTGTTCATGTCATAAAATGTTAATATGATCGATATAATCGTCTACGTTTATCCATTTTTATACCTATATTTATCCCTTTTTTCGTCTATACTACCTATATTTATCCATTTTATTCCATATTTGTCAACTTTTTTGTCCATATTTCTCTATTTTTTCGTCCATAAATCCATACATATTTTTACGTTTTTAAGAACATAACTCTGTTAGCCCTGAATATCATGATTGCCGCTCATTTTCGGTACATTTCGTCACGATGTCACCTCTTGCGGCGTTTGTTTACACATACGTATCATGCAAATACAAACAGCTTTTGAAAGTTTATAAAAAGCTTTAAGCTTTGTTACGCTTTATGTCAAAATAAAGCTTACCCGGTGATATTTTTAAAAAGCTTTGT